CACGATCGAAGTCCCAATTATTTTTCAACTTCTTCGCTGGACGGATGGGGGAGCCGGAGGATGTAGGCAAAGTGATGAGCAAAGGTAGCCTTATCAAAGGTCACAGTGAGGCCATTGTGCGAACGTTGGTCTGGAGAGGACTATGATCTTGAGGCCATCCAAATTCATCCGACTAGGCTTGAAAATCATTTCCAAGAGCAGGACTTGAACGGGGTCTCTCTGAGACCTTGGCCACCACTGCTACTGAACCGTAGCAGGTGATGTGTGCCAGTTCGTCGGTGCCTTGGGCAAGGAACTTGCATCTATATACCAAATAAGCACAGAAAACATGGCAAAATGCAAAATATAAATTTTGAAAATGCAACAAAGCAAAATTTAGGAACCGATCTCCTCTCTCGTTTTGTATCACCTGACTTGAACCAATGTGACTACCACGTTTCCGGAGTCTCTTCCGCATCGCGGCGTGGGTGTACAATCCTGTAATAACCTTAATGATACTTCGAAGGTTTGATCCGGTCCCATCAGCGATTACACATTTCAGTTTGGGGCTGTTGCTTTCGACAAATGAATGGATAAACCTTTTCACCTTCCACAAGTGCGGAACTCATAGGACACCCTAAATAGAACCAAAGGGTAATGATGCAAAGATTTCCACAGGAGCAAATTCGAAGGAGATTCTGGTGGGGCAAGAGTAACCCATGGAGCTATTCGATTTACAAATGGTATTCGCTGTACAGAATGAGACAGTCTTCATTGATTATGACACTTCCGTTAATTTTTTTCTCTAAGTGGAAGTGGAAGCCTATGTGAGTCATACTAGCACTACTGTCCGATAATCACCAGTTGGACAAACATAAGATGATAGCTTTTGACAATTAGTCATTAATGTGAGGTGTCGGTGCCCTCCCTAGAGGCGGCGTCATAGACCCTTTGGGAAGGAGCTCTTGGCGTAGTTTGTAACTCAGAAGCTTCAAGCTTGCAAGCCTCTGTTGAGGAAATAAAAGCTTGGAGCAACTTAAAGGAGGATTGCACGGAAAGAACGAAGGTCGAAGAAGGGAGAAATCGCCTAGTGGGGAGAGCGGTGAATCTCTTGAGGGTGCGGACAGACACGCAATCGGCATCGAAAGATTTGACCTCGGCGACCTAGCATGGCTCAAAGTTGGCGGTTCGGCGATCTCCGCCCACCGATCATCTGATCACTCGCCGTAGTTCAATACGTGGCGAGTGATTAGATAGCTGAGAGAGCGTAGTGTTGAAGAGGGCACAGCGATGAGAGTCGCATCAATGCTCAAATCAACGGGCAAGGAAGGGGTCCCATTTCTCGGGTTCTGGGCCGTTTCTCATGGTTTTCCTTCTTTCGTGTACCACTCACCATCCTACCTAATTTGAAATGGGTTGCTTTTCCATCGTAAATTCGTCCTTTAAGGGCTTCCGAGTAATTCGTTTGGCAGCAAGAACATGCATTAAAATTATAGATAAATTTTCACAAGGAGATCTAAATGGGAAATTTGCAGGCAAAGCAAGGAAGAGTTTGATAGCCTTTCTAAAAGTGAGATGAAAGAATTGGAAGATGTACTACGAAGCAGTGAAGAGGAAAGAAGACGGCTAGAAATGGAACGTGGGAAGGAAGAAGAACTGTTCAGTCGTGCTTTAGCTGTGACGAACGAGGTAGGGTTTCAGTAAAGAGTTTACTTACTACAGTTTTGAGGGTGAAGATAAGTTTGTAAGTAGTCAAATTCTGAAGATGATTTCCAGATGTCATGCCCTATCAAGGATCAAGTTGGTGGGGTAAGAATACTCGATAATGAATAGGGATACGAAGAAAGATGAGGAGAAACCCTCGAAAACACAGGCCAGGGATAGATAAAGGCGCCGAAAAAAGTTCTTTGACACGATAGGAGATGCAGATCAGCGAGGCGGCATAATGAAATGCTACCAGGATGGATGAGCGCATCAGAAGCGGGGCGGATCTTCTTGATTCTGGTGTCTAATAACGTTTTTTGAAGCATCTTCTGTTCGTATCGCGTCGTACACGGTCCCTGCTCCTTTATAGCTGATTCGTAACATTTCACTACTCCTGTCCTGGGTAATATCTCAAAAGACGCCTTCCTTATTGAATTGACAAGAACTGTGACGTCATTCCTGTAAATAAAGTAGATTTTTCCGCAAACGCAGAGCCGCAGCTACCTTTGGTACTTGTGAGAGGCTGAACGAGAATGAGATGAGGCTTGTATTTCGGTTCTGTTGCCGCTCACCGTTGCAGATGCTTTCGTGTCTGGTCTCGCTCGTCCCTATACTCTTACTTCTGCGCCAAACGTCTCTTTGTCGTAGTATCTATGCACCAGTCAAAAAATGAAAACCTAACTACCCGTATCTCTTCTTTTTTCCGAGAGCAATAATCATACTTAAGTGATCATGGGATGTACCTCGGACTAGAGTACCTTATGCGCTGACAGGAATGGATAGGCTTCATTCACAATGGAATTTCACGAAGAATTAAATGAGCAGAAGTCGTTGAGTCTCTACAATGACTTAGGAGGATCAGTCAGTGTTTCAGCGAACAGTTTGGCACTACTATGCCAGATTAGCTTGGGTCACCAAATTTGCTGTAAACTTGTCGTCCGAGGTAGTTACACCCGTAGAACATGAATATCACATTAGTTCGTTGCGAGTGAGCTTGTAGCCTGCGCTACGGGCGCCTGGCGCAAAACAATGAAAACGCCTGGCGCCTGTGGCACTGGCCAAAGACGTTTTCGCGGCAAACTGATGTGATATTCGTGTTTACGGGTTAAACTACTTACAGAGACAAGTTTTCAGGGAACTCCGTAACCACGCACAAATTTCGATTGAAATCCGGCTCACATCTTGAGGAGTGGGCCGGTCAAGGAATAAATAGTGCCGATAGTTCTATGATTCCAAGGTTCCCGTTCTCCTAAGGTTCGGTTATAGCTACCATCTAGATTCTCGGTGTAGTAGTAGCAAAGGGTGTCAATTAGTGGAGCATGTTTGTGATAGTGACGCCTCCACACTGGTCGCGAACGCTGCTCCCGTGGAAGGAAAGGGAGGGGGGGGGGGGAGTAAAAAGTACTTCAGTACAAAATATACATGTATAGGACTTTGTAGTGAAGTTTTATGATTTTATAACTTCTCATACCAAGACTTTTCTTCCCACGTAAATGAACTGCTTTTTAAGAGCGAAAAGACAGATCAGAAACGAGAAGGTTTAACTGCCACATCATCGTCGCGCACTGAAGCGACACCTTTGGTCACCAAAAATGCAGAACTAAAAGCTACATCCGAAGGAGCGGCATCAAAGTCATCAAACACCGTAGAAGGTTCTGAGACGGTTGGGTCCGCGGGAAGCGCTGATTCGAAACCATCCAGAGCAGCTACAGCGAAGAAAGATCGACGCGAAAGCACAGGAGAGCGACCTCCGACAATGAACACCTTAGCTCCTTCCGAAAGAGATCGACGTGCAAGCGTAGGTGACAAAAGTCCAACGACAAAGACGTCAGCACCACCCGAGAAGACACCGCCAAGAACGTGAGTGCATCATGAACTTTCCCTGTTCGTTCATCAAGCAGCTTTGCTTTCAGCAGGGGCAATGGACGTCCACCTACAGCAAAGCGAGGAAACACTCCAAGTGGTGGTGTTGGTGAAAGAGCTGCGTTGAAAAGTGTGAAGGATAGGCGTGTAAGTGGAGAGATAAAAACTAGGCTTTTTTTGGGAGTCCTTTCGTTCAGCTCTCAGCAATGAGTTTTAGCCGTCTACAGAAGCTCGGAAGCCGAAAGAGGACGATCTCGTCAATACGAGCGCTAGAGCGAAAACTGAAGCAGAGCTGGAAGACGAGGGAATGATGTATGGACCACGTGGGAAGAACATCTACGATGTGAATGTGAGCGATGTTTTCTTCAACTTAAACTGCTACTTGCTCTGAGCAAATTTTCTTACCTCGTTGCCCAGTAGTCATTTCAAGGATAAAGGTAGCACGTGTTGACATGTTGTATGCGGCGTGAATTTGAGCAAGTTTCACATTATCCTCCCTGAAACCTTCACGTGCCCCCTCCCACACCCAATTCGATCTATGACGTTTGGAGCAAACGGGAAGCCCTGCTCGTTTTAACACCAGCTGGCCAGGAGCAAACTTTTCCCGAAACTGTTTCTCTGCATTTTTTTTTGCTGAAACTTGGCACATGGTCACACACAACGCAGCTATACGGGGAGTGAATAGATATAGTTCACCGCTTCCCCACCTCTTCGAACCTGACTGAACATTTTTGGGCTGCGCTACTTTCATGCCCTCTGGTCAGAATTGCACAATCGTCGAAGCGCGTATTTGGGCCATACAGTAGGTTACGGCTACCGGCTGATAGCACAGGAATGCGAAAGCATTGGTGCGAAATGGGTCGACAGTTGAGAAGAAAAAAAGAATCTGTCGAAAACGCCAGGTTGAGGGCTCACTCACCTTCGTAATGCGGCTGTGCTAAAGGAATGAGAGACTAAGCGCGGAGAGGAGAGTATGGAGGCGAGAGAGCGCCGCAGATGAGAGGGCACCAAACCATAGCTTGCTGCGGACTGCAGTCAGGAACTTTTGCAACTGCTGCAGCGCACTTTGCGAGACCTTGCTAGTGCCTTTCGAGCGAGTTCCATGCACGGGAGTGCCAAATCCATGGCTGCACTCTGAACATCCATTCTACAGATCGAACAGAATCGTTCGCTCGACTTCTTCCCGAGTTCGCCTTTAATTTTAGTGGTCTCGTTGTCCCCAACAATGCTAGTATCGATTTGTCAACCTCGGAATGAAAGGTATAACCCGCCTATGGGATCAGGCCTATCATTGATATGTGGCGTGGCCATGTTGACTGTTGCGCTTTCGCGGTGCACGATCATCTTACTCGGGAATATTCTGAATGCTCCTATTCTTCCTATCGATTCTTATTCTTGCTATCGATGATGCTAGTCAAGCCTTTGCTGCTCCAACAGTGATAAAGGATAAAAAGGATAAAGCATTTGCCGTTGATCAATCCCTTTTTGGGATGCGGCACGCATTCTACTTCCATTTGTACATTCGTAGTGGCGTTTGAATGCGATGTGGCCTAT